CTGTTCGTATATAGCGAAACGTGTATAGACAACCCCAACTTTCAAATGGCGGCCAGAATTTTGCAGTTGAAAGAGAAGTTAGAGCGAACCCTTCACGACGAAGACCAAATTTGGACGGAACGGCTCGCCTCTCTCGAACAAAGATCCGGAATCGATCGTCTTTACATTTTTGTGGTAATGGTGGCATGTATGGCGCTTTGGTTAGCTTACGGTGTCGGCCAACAGTTTCTCTGCAATTTAATCGCATTTGCGTACCCGGCGTATGCATCACTGCAGTGCATTGAACATCCCCAAACAAGGAACGACGAAGCCAAATGGTTAACCTATTGGGTGATAAGTGCAACGTTGACTTTGCTTGAAATTCACGCGCCCTTCTGTACAACGCTTGTGCCGAAATATTGGCTGACGAAATGTATGTTTATGGTTTTCCTTATGCTGCCGGCCGAATTCAATGGATCTCTTATGATCTATGCGAAATTTGTTCAACCGTATTTCGTTAAAGTTCATCCACATTCTCCGTTAACGACCAACAAATTTTATAAACCAGCAATACCGCTCAGAGATCGCGATCCCAATCAACCCATTCGCAGTGAAATTGCATTAAAAACGTAATATCTGTTGATTTGTATGTTAAGATCCATTATACACAGATGTTGATGTAGTACAAAATAAAGGCCCTTTCTCTTCTGTGCCACGTATTTATTAGCGAGTTCATAATTTTGCGATGTCTGTACGTCTGTCCGCTAGTACGCAATCTCGAAAAAAGATTAATCCGATTACGATGAAATTTTGCAGGTGGATTCTTGTTCAAATTTGTAGATCGGAGCTCGTGAATTGGCATTGTAGCCCAAAAAATAAGGAGGTTAGTTATGAACCGAATTGCATGGCATTCAAAATTAGCCATATACACAGAATGCCAAGCAATTGCCATACTCAGGAGCTCGTTTGCTATACTTGTTTATATATTTCTCTAAATATATTATGCGATTATTAAGACATTTCATAAAAGTAATCTTGACAATCTAACACCCGTTTTGCGTTACAGTAATAGTAATAAAACTAGTTAGTAGAGACGGGGATAAACTGATAAAGAAGATCATAGGATGCATTATCTCCTTAAAAACAAAGATTTTGTGCAACGAATTGTTACCTCCGTTATGAAAATTGCAATTTGAAGATTGATGACAGTCTTTCCTCGATCAACAATTTTCTCATATTTAGTGGTGCCCGAAAGTGATTTCAAGGATCTACTGACAATGTCAACAGATACAGAGCCGCTCTCAATTAGTTATTGGACTATGTCACAGGAAGGTGGATTTGTGGTGGTGGTCAAATTGTCATTTTGGGATCGGTGGTTTCTTAGAAATTCTACGTATAGATTCAAATCACAATTTTGAAATTTAAGACAAAATAAGAAACTGCATATGTTGTCTCCACCACCATTTTTGCTCAAAAATTGAGTGGTCGATTTATGGTAACATTAATAATAAAATTGTCGAACAATTTTTTTAAAGGAAATACTTTTAATTTCGGAATCAGTAAGTAGCCATATCCTCTTCCGTAACGGCAGCAGTCCTAAGAATTGCAAGTATTAGACTTAAGTTACAATAAAGTTTATTATTTTCTATTATTTTTAATATCTGACATCGTATGTGTTTTTCACTTTATCCGCGTTGTTCTATGGCTATTATGCCACCTCAGTAGTAAAAATAATCTAACTGGAACAGTTGTATAGGTAAGAAATTAAAACCTCACTTTAATTATAATTTGAAATTAATAGATCATGTACAATATTGTGCTCCTAGGTTTTCTTTACGTTTAAACGTATCTAGCCTGTATCCAAGGTATATGTTTATTTGCTCCGTTGTAAAAAAGATTATTTTTTGAAATTATTACGGACAATTTGTTTTGTTAATTCTTTAGGTGACAGTTCAGATTTGATTTATTGGGTATTTCGTTTAGTTTCATAAAAGATTGATGTATTTATCTAGAGAATTAAGTGTCAAATAAAAATTTGTTAAAGCTCTCAGTTTTTCGTGAAGTGAAGTTTCGTCAGTAATTGATTAACTGTTCTAAGTAATTCCTACACTAATGCCGAGCGAAGACCAGTGCAGCATAAATCAAGCAAAAGTCAGCAAATTCCTATTAAAAGCGACAAAATATGTCATTTGTGCCGAACTCACCTCCGGTTCGCTCGGCATTACCATATATTGACTGTTTTATGTAAGTTCTGCACCAACGCCGAGCAATCCGAAGAATAAAGGATCCAAAATCTGGTATCGAACGGTAAATTAGCGAGATATAGCGTTTTGAAATTTGGGGGCGAAATCTTTAAACCGAGATATCTCGAGAACGGAGCGTCGTAGATGGGTGCCGTCGGAAAGGTCTCGAAGTAACCTAACCGGTGGTGGTGGTGGCTGAATTTCGGAACGGCGCGGCGGTGGAGACCTAGAAGGGATCGGGACGGAAGAAAGACAAACATCCCAATTTAAGTGTGACTAATGAGTGTGGAACTGTTTACTTTTTTAGTGATAATAATCGACCATATTGAAGGCCAAGGGGCTGTTTGAGTTTGTTGCACTCGAATGGGATTTCCAATCTGCTTCAAATTTTATGTAGCGTTTCCGTTGGAATTTACGGAATTTGATTGCAGAAATTAATTTTATTAGTTAATACAATTGAGAAAAATTAGTTTCTTCAAAACTGAACTTTTCCGCACGAAAGCATTTTGTTGTGACCCACCACCTTCCCTTTGAAAGGTGCTAGGGTTAAAGTTTCACCAAAATCGGCTCATAAACAAGAGTTACTTCTGCGCATGTGCGGGCAATGTTTTGCATATGTTTAATATTTATGATCGATCGATTCGCTTTTATTAAAAGGTGTTACTATTAAAATTTCACCAAAATCACATATATTCACCAATAAAGTTGTGACAGAACTAATAAATAAACCAAATATCCAAAACCTTTAATAGAACACTTATATACTTTCATAGAAAGACTTAACAGCTGGACCGACGTTGATGGATATACTCTTTTTGATTTGATCTTTCAAAAATTTTTACTTCGGGATGGCTAACCTGTCAATGGGGTTTCTAACGAAATCCTTGGTCTCGGCGAAACTAGGTACCTATCTGGAGATGGGACATTGAGATAAGCTCAACGAAAATATCGCTACTTTCATCGTTCTGTATTGTAACCTGTGCGGAAAAAAGATTAAAGACTAACTATAACCATTGAATAAAAACACTATTTTTTATTCAATGCTATAACTAAATTTTGGAATTTTTAGGGCGTTTCTGATAGATATGACGTTAGCAGCACAATTAAGCAAATATTATCACAATATTTAGTACCTACTAACTAATCTCCAAACCAACCGTCATTAATTGCATGTGTTTATATGTCAATTCTCATATCGTAGATTTCAATATTTTATGGACATTTTATCTATATTGTTTTCGTTTTGAAGAAGTAAAATTAGAAAAATATATTTTTTGTATTACATAAAAAATCAAAAGAAATGTGTGAAAAGACGTAGCATTTTATCTGCGTCTAAAGTAGGTACATAAGAACAAAATAAATTGTTTAGCATTTTAAAAAAAAATAGACAATCTCTGTCTCAACTTATCATAATCCGCCATATTGGGGCTAAAAAATGGTTTGATTGTAGGATCAATATACCTTGTCATATCAAATTCTGACCGTATAATAATAAATGTCAGTTTCATTTAAAGATTATCCTTCAAAACTACGGCGCAGAAATGATAGTTTGAAACTGTGGAGAACAAGCTATAAGGAAACGACTGATGCTTCCCAAATTCAAAAATATATAAAGAAAACGGTATAATAAGTATAAAATATGGTTCAAGAACCAAAATGTACGTATACAGGTAACCATTACTCATTAAATTGTGTTTGACATTTCAACTTTTTATCCAGCGTCGCATTCGGAAGAAAAAGTGACACTTTAGTCCTTTAAATGGAAGACAAAACACATTGAGTACAAAAAAGCAATATTCGTTGTGTATGTTAGAATTTAAACCAGTTCAAGAGTATGTATGATCACAATTGAGCAACATAATCATCTTTTCGTATTAATTTCTATTCTTCCCGGTAAATTAGAAACTCCTATACCAAAGTATAGCATTTTAGCGCCAATATGGCGACCGGAACCAATGACCAATCAAAAACAAGATACCCTGTTGTCGCCACTGTTCTAAATTGAGTCACTGTAATCTCAAGTAGGTACTAAGTGCAGTTAGGTACTTACATAGTTACAAGGATTAGTTTGACCGTGCAATGTTTCTCATTTTTACTTTTACCTATAATTGGTTAATGGTTAAGCAATGAGTAATCTTTCGATTTGGCAGAATGGGATTTGTAAAGGTGAATATAATATCGACTATAATTTTGTACAGGGTCCTTTGAAAAGAATCGACTACTTCGAATAGGATGATATCGAGGTGAATATGGTTTTAAAGTAAAGAGGAGGGTTGGGAGTTTTTGTTTTTACAATATTGGTAGTGGTTGCCTTCTGTTGAGATTAGTGCCCTGTCTGCACGATGTGGACCGTGCAGCAGAAAGTTCAGCTCGACATTTTACTTGATATATACTCCCTATCCCTTTTTTCAAAAATGTTGCAAACATTTTCGATAGTTATTTAAGTTTCCTATGGAAACCAGGGTTCATACACTATTCATTCAAATCTAACTAAAAAATTATTTTCATCGAACGAATTGCAATTTACAAATAATTACTTCTTTGGTCTATCGAAGAAACGCACTTCTGCAAGGAGATGATTTCAAAGCAATCTTATCTGTTTATAAACTGGATCAAAATTATAAAAATGTTTTGATAAAGAAAGAATTGCTACCCCTATGGGCCATATGACTATATATTGACAGTGCTGTAATGAGGTATACTTATTCAATGGTTATACCTAAATAATAAACTAATAATAGTCACACTGCTATTCTAATAAAGAGAAAGAAGTCTTACCATTGGAAAACTTATTCAATCGATTTTCACTTGCCGACGAAGAGTCGTTTTCACTTGCGTCGTTTACTTTTTCATCGATAAACTCAACTTCATTGCTTTCTGAATAACCCGATTCGGAAGTCGCACAAAGCTTTTGCACACTAGACATTTGACACTCACTTTCCGTGTGATGGTAGTCGAGATCGCGACCGCTGTCAATTTTCGACAAAATCGATTCGATCGAAAAATTGTTGCTTTTCACTTTTTTATCATCTTGGGATTCCGTGCACAAACTCTCATTCATTTTGCAATATTTTCGGCGCGTGTATCGATAATTTCGCTATTTGTTTAGGTAGTCACTCTTTGGCGATGTAGTTTGTAAATTGAGTTTCGGTTTACCTATACTTCAAAGTCACATCTTAACACTTTTGGGAAGCTGAAGTTAGATTTAACCAATGGTGCATTTCCAGGGGCGTGATTCTGTAAAATGGGGAGTAGGGATAATTGAGATATATTTAGTGATAACATCTGTTTTCAAAATAAATTTAGCGTGTCAAACTAATGAATCTACTTACTTTCAAGTTGTTACATACAAAATTTATTTTAAATACCTACTGATCATGCGATATTGTGTACAATAATGCATTAGATATATAACTTTAGGAATTTTAGGTGTTATTGCCGAGAAAATGGACTATTAAAATATATCAACAAATTCATTGTTACAGTCAATTTTCGCTTGGCACTCGAGAGATCGAAATATTACCTACTTCGTATACAATTTAATTTGCTGTGATCATAATTTTAAGGATAAACACTCAGTATATTTAACTTTGGAAAGTGCTCACTTACTTGTATTGGCAATTAATACTACATTTTCTTCTGGTCGTTTTACCAGGGGCGTTTTCTAAAATGTGTGGGGAGTGCACTCACACACACATATGATATTAGTCTGTAAAGCTATAACTTTTTAAAGCAAGCTCATTCTCATTAAAGCCATTTATATAATATTGTGATCCCATAAAGCAAACGGGAGCAAAATATTAATGATCTACAAGAAATATAACTTTAAAAACTAACGACCAATCATTTTTAATAGAAACGGCGCTTATTACCAAAAGTGTTACCCCTATTTCCGTTCGAGTAAAAGTGTAACATGGCCAAGGGGATACGGATAATTAACATAGCAGGTTACCTTACACCATCCAGATGAGTGAAATTTTAGTATAAAGTCCTATATTGGCGCCTGTAATTAGTTGTTACCCTTATGATGGTGTATCCCGTTCTAAAAGATCGTGTTACGGATATATCAACCCCTAAACGATTGAAAGCTATCACCGTTACGCCCAATAAATCAGTGGATATGTGGTGCGACCGACTTATGCGAAATATATGGCGTTATGGTATTTGAAAATATTTATGGAATTTACATATTATTTTGTTTGGTGTGGAAGACTGGCGCCAAGTATCCGCAACCACAAGATCTTCAACTGTTTACCAATTACATCGAAGAAATCGTAAAATACGTTCCCTTAGTAAACTGATGAAAATAAACGTTGCGCATATCTTGTTTTCAAAAAAGGTATTACTGTTAAAATGCATAGAGAAACAGTAATTATAGCTACGTAAGTAGAAAAAGAAGCGATAAAACTTTAAATGGAATTTAAATCGATATTTTCAAATTCTGATATGTTATACAAAGTAAAATATTCAGTAAAATATTTGATTCTTTTAAGATTAATTAATGTGAGACTAAACTCTAGTGTCATTTAAATAGATTTACATTTTGAATGAGATACAGGTATGATGTTCTTGATATGACTGTTTCGCCTGATACGTGCCTGTTCACAATAATCTACTTCTCAATGTACCTATGTCATGTAGCAGTCTGTAGTACCTACTTCGTGTAGCTTTTATTAAAACTAGTAATCTCGGTCGTGCTCCAAAACGGAAGTTTTCTCTACAATTTATTAACTAGGTCTCGTTGCAGGTAAAATGCACCGATGAACTGTTAATTCCATGCTGTATGCCGCTGTATACAAAATTTCATTTATCGCACAAGGCGGTATCCAACAATTAAAAAACTAGCTTTTAACCAGCCGTTACTGTTAGCGATCCGAAAAAAAACTTCTTTCACGAAGAGTTTTAATATCAGTTTATTTAATTGGGGTTTGGTTTTAACAGTATTTCACCGACTCGAAAATGTTTCTTCGCGTAAATTTTATCACTCGTAATTAAACGACCTTGATACGAATCAGACTGCTAAACAGTTTTTCCTTGCCTCGGAATTTACTGTAATTCGTTTCTTCGCACACATATAAGAAATAACTCGCAACTTGTCACGAACCCAAATTTGTTCGGACTGTTTAATACGAGGTGCGAATTGCGTGTCTAGTGAGCAAAAAGAGGGGTTTTCAAACGCTTTGCTTCACAGCTGCCGTTATCTAATCTAATTGTAATTAGCGCATTTTTTTATAAATACCGGAAAGGAGTTTATTCTTCTATAATGGAAATGGTGTTCTCTTAAATACGGCAGACAAAGAATAAAGCTAGCTGGTTCGCGACGGTTGGAAAAGAGTGTACGTTTGATTGATTGAAGACCTAGTTAGCCATTTTTATAATAAATCTATACAAAAGAAGGTTAAATAAAGTTCAAACATGATTCTGCATTGAGGTTAAATCAAGTCAATTTCAAAAACAAAGATGGAAAATTATAAAAAATATAAAATGTTGCATACAAAATAACAAAATACAAATAAATTATAAAGAGATGCACATGCATTTGTCAATTGTTTCTGTTCGTTCCCGAACACTCTGTATGTCGGCACACGAACTACTTTTACTCACATCCAATAAAATTGTAGATTATTTATGAAAATAGCAAAGACTTTTGTTCCCAAAAGGTCACAGATCGGACATAATGCGCATGCGCAGTCTAATTGTCAAGATTTTTCTTGGTTCACGTGCCCGATACGGTTATTTTTCCTAGAAGCATCTGTTATTAAAATTTCAAAATAAATATCTCTGTAAATAAGAAATTTGACAGTTGTGCAGTTGGCGCATGCGCACATCTGATGTTTACAATATGCGATATGCTTATCTTTACTAGAGACATGGTTAAAATTTCAACAAAATATCTCTATAAATAGGAAAGTTGACATTGCGCAGTTTAATCGTAAAGATTTTCCTTGGCTCAGGTGACTACGGAATGCAAAATGAACGAACTAAATATCTTGAAAACTGTAGGAGTAGTCTCGGACAGACGGACGGACACAGACACAGTTGGAAAATGCGCTAAAAATGTTCAATCCACTATTTGTGATACTTTATTACTATTAACTAATTAAAACAACAAAAATTATTTACTTTCACACCATGGGCAATATTTTCTTTACTACTTCCTGGCACTATCACAGTTCCATAGTCAATGGTATTTGCCGCTATCGAGTTGTCCACACTAATCCCATCGCAGACATTCATAGTCTTAGTGAGTGCAAGTTCACCATACAGTTTAATCATTTCCAGTGCTACATTATGGAAAACCTCCTCTACTCTCTGCAAGAAATAGGCATGATTGAGTCTAAGATTTATAGTGTGTATAATGTAAATGAGTTAAATTTCAAACATAGTTTTGAAATGGAAAACGAGGAAGAAGCTTTATTTCAAATCTCAACGTATTAATAATATGTCACATAAATATTTCTTGTAAATGAAATTAGAAACGAATATAAATAGTTTGAAAATAGGTTGGCATTGTATTTCAACGTTTCTACATAAAAAACATCAGCGTCGCGTTTGTTTTTCAGTTTTGAATCAAACATCTCGATCTATATCGGATTACTTTTAGAGAGAATAAATGAAACCACGATATTTTTACCATTACAATTTGTTTATGAATAACGTACTGCATCCGCTAAAAAGTGTAGGTAACGAGAGCTGTTTTGGTCAAATTTCCTGTGTTTGACAGTCGTCACAAAAATGTATGGGTTTTATACAGGCAGCATACTTTTCAAAATTTTTGCATCCGACGGAATATTTCAAGAATATATTTACATTATTTAATCTTCGATGCATTTGTCAATGTAAGGAGGGTGCTCAGACTTTAGATTTGTATAGTCAACATTAACTGCGAGGATAATCCGTTTATGGAATACGGTAGTATTCATGGTCTATGTCAAATTAAAGTTTAGAGAACTTTGGAATTCATTAGCTTTTCAAAAATCTAAATTTTTGCATTCTTACATCTATTTAAACCAGGATTTAAACTCATGAAAAATTAAAATCGGTATGATTTGCATGTGTTTTTTTCGGCCAAGGAATGAAAATTGTAATTGAGGAAAAGTTTTCATTTAAAATTGAGTTGTTCCATAGAAAAGTGTCCAAATTCACGGGTCCATCCCGTTCATGTGAAAGGTAATTTTTTTACATGCCATGAAATAGCTGAGGTGTCAGTCAAAGAATGATACAACGATGTTAAAATTGTATGTTCAAATTGTAAGAGTTATATAACCCTTACCTGATTGTATAAAGCTGAACATTCATAATACTTTGCACCAACCTCATTACTGTATTTGACAGCTTCTTCTCTTGATACCTACAAAACGGTTATATTATTAGCTTATGAAGATAATAACCATATTGAATTAAAGTAAATTTGGGCACAATTACCTGTCGTTCTTCGACAAGGTCCGTCTTATTTCCAATAACATAAGTCACAACTGGATCGTCGATGTTGCGATTCAATTCCAACATCCATTCTTTTACATTTAAAAAACTATCATAATGTGTTAAGTCAAATACTAACAATGCCGCGCTTGAGTTTCTATAAAACAAGGGCGCCATTGATTTGAATCTTTCCTGTCCTGCAGTATCCCATACCTACAACCAAGAAACGCTAGTCAGAAGAGGGATGATTGTGGAAAAAGAACCGGATATTTCTGTCATTACTTACTTGTAATTTCACTAGGGTATCACCAATAGATATAGAACATGGGAAGTAGGATGCACCAATTGTTGGCGTAACGGTTCCATTTACCTCTTGTTTCAAATATCTTAATACTAGACTGGTTTTTCCAACACCTGAAATAGAAACTGTCCAAAATTAAGTTATACTTGATAAAATACAAGAAGAAAACTCTCCCCGATAACTTCAGGCACCAAAGTTTACTTTCGGGCATTTCCTTTCAAAAAAATTTAGGGGAAGTTTCATCATCTTTTGTTAAATTTGATTAAATTTTCTAGAAAGTGGTGAAACTGGCCTAAATGAGTTAGAAAACATTGTTTCTTTAAAATAGATAGAGATTGTTTTAGTAAAACGAACGTACGGAAAAAGTCGTTACAATAGCGAATTTTTGAAAGCAATTTTATAAGCGACAAAAGTATATTATTATCCAAGGAACTAAAGTGTGTCTTTTAATCTCGAGGGTGCAGACTGTTGCCCGAAACCGAGTTGAAGGCAACAAGCATCCGACGGATTAGGACGCACTTCAGTCCTATGGTACCTATATACGCTATTTTTACTCCTGGAATCAGCCTCAGCAATTTCAACGTTCAAATTTGAAAGAAAATTTAAATTTGTTTGATTGTAGAATCAATAAATGTTATATGTATATTGTATACATAAACGTCAGTTTAATTTAAAGATTCTCGTTCAAAACTACGGCGCAGAAATGATCGTTTAAAAATACTCTGCAGAACAAGCTGTGAGGAAACTGCTATCTACCAAATTCAAAAAGATATATCGAATAATATCGGTATAATAAGTATATAAAATATGGCGCAAGAACCAAAATATTGTATTTATGTATTTTGCAGTGAATCTTTTTACTTCCTTTAAATTAATGATGTAGTTATGGAATAATCTTCTTCTTCTTTCAATTTTTGCTTAAAAACTATTAATATAATATATAATAATATATATAATATAATATAATAAAAACTATTAATAAGATTAATAATAAGATTTTATCAGTTTGATTCCACGTTGCCATGGACATCCTCTTTCTCGCAATTAAAAAACAGGAAAACGTTTTTTTTTATATACACGGTTTTTGACATATAAATTCAGGGTGATTAAAAATTGAGTGCAAAGATTTTAAGGGCCATTTACCAGTCAAAAATAAGAAATTTTTTTTCATATACCATTTCTAGATACAGGGTGTAAAAGTTTTTTTTAAAAAAATCGGTTACTCAAAAACTTTTCAGTCGATTTAAATAAAATTTGGTAGGCTTATTTGTCATCATAAGGGCCTTCCTTTGGTGGAATAAAATAAATAAAACCGATTTTAAAAAAAACTTTTACACCCTGTATCTAGAAAACGAAGCAAGTTAGGATATACAATTATATGAAAAAAATTTAATATTTTTGGCTGGTAAATACGGCCTTAAAATGTTTGCACTCAATTTTGAATCACCCTGTATAAATATATCTAGGCTCCGTTAACTTAGCACCACCATTTCAAATTTCTGACTAAAGACAGATTGCGCTAGAATCTCTATGGCTAGCGCCAGCTAGCGCCACTTTGAGTTCAGCTAGCGCCATTATAGATTTTGCAGAAAAGCCCTTGACTTTCGGGGGGTGCTATGTTAACGCTAGCACCACCATTGCGTCCGATCATTTCCAAAAGCAAGCGCTGTGTTCGTCAGACCTAGCGCCAGCTAGCGCCACAAATTGTAAGCTAGCGCCACCCCCCAATAGTGAGGGGAGCAATTTTTCCTAGCACCACCATTTTGTCTTTTTATGTAAAATTTTGACGTTTTGTGTTCTGCTGACCTAGCGCCAGCTAGCGCCACTTTGAGTTCAACTCGTGCCATTATAGGTTTTGCAAAAAAGCCTTTGACTTTCGGGGGGTGCTATATTAACGCTAGCACCACCATTGCGTACGATCATTTCCAAAAGCAAGCGCTGTGTTCGTCAGACCTAGCGCCAGCCGCCACAAATTTTAGAGCTAGCGCCACCCCCCAATAGGGTGAGGGGCAATTTTTCCTAGCACCACCATTTTGTCTTTTCGGGTAAAATTTTTACGTTTGGTGCTCTGCTGACCTAGCGCCGGCTAGCGCCACTTATTTTAGAGCTAGTTTTATAATTTTGCGGTGTCTGTCCGTTAGCACGATATCTCGATAACGAATTGACAGATTACGATGAAATGGATGGATTCTTTATCAAATTTGTAGATCGGAGTTGGTGAATTGGCAATATAGCCCAAAAAATAAGGAAGGTTCTTTTGACGTCTCTGTGAGTTATGAACCGAATTGTATGAAATTCAATATGCGTATAGCTTTAGCCATATAAAACGCAATTTCAAAAGTTGAGCCTAATCGATCAACATTCACAGTGCCCTTTTCGCATCTCGACCATTTACAAACTGGAATGAAAACTTTCTTATTTATGGAAGCATTTAAAAGAAATTTGATACATAGCAACTTGGAATAAAAGCAAATTTAACGCCAGTTTCAAAATTTGGTTTTGTGCATGATGTGCGGTGCCAATTTTCTTATTTATGGAAGCAATTAAATGAAATTTCATACATATACACTTTAAATAAAAGCAAAACTACCACCAAGTTCAAAATTTGGTTTTGCACATGCTGTAGCCAGGAGCTCGTTTTCTATATTTATTTACACGTCGATGCGAAAAGGGCACTGTGACTGTTGATAGATTAGACACAACTTTTGGAATTGCGTGTTATATAGCTACAGCTATACGCATATTGAATTTCATGCAATTCGGTTCAAAACTCACGCAGATGTCAAAAGGGCCTTCCTTATTTTTTGCGCTATATTGCCAATTCACGAACTTCGATCTACAAATTTGATAAAGAATCCAACTACAACATTTCATCGTAATCGATCCATTCGTTATCGGGATATTGTGGTAACGGACAGACGGACAGACACCGCATCTGGGATGGTCAAACTCTTTACCATTTTTAAACCCGAATGTGCAAATCTGTCCCTCTTAGGATCGGAAATAATAAACAAATTATTTTAATTTGAAATCCTTTACTTTTTGGATTGATCATTCTGTTTAAAGTACAAAAGTTCCAATAAAAATACTAAAATTTGTATGTAAAGTAGCAAGATTGTAAATATGAACATCCCTTCATTTCAAAGTAAACAGACGGTGAGGTATGCAGGTACAAACTTACTTAAACCCTTTATGAATGCGCAAAAGTTGTAAATTATTTGTCACATCAAGGGTTTACAGGCGCGTCAATTGTGTAAAGTTTTGTATATCTGTATTGTTAAAAACAACACCTTTAGATAGTAGTCGACGCGACGTACATACTACATAGGTATATAATTTATCGGGAGCAAATATACAAGAGCTTGATTTTTAATCGGATAATTTTATTCTTACACGAAAGTTTTGTTGCCACCGAAAAAAATCGAGACCAAAAGTGTGATAAAATCGCGACAGTTTTAGCTGGAGCAATTTTATTAATATTATCCTTTTCGAGAGTTTTTTCCAGGAGGCAACAAAATTTGAGTGAATTAAAAATAAAATTATCCTGACTTAAAATCAAGATCGAGTGTATTTTAGGGAGATTAATAAAAGACAGTAAATTTTACAACCACTACATATTTTACGCATTCCTACACGCATTTTTATCGCTGGTTAAAAGCTATGTGGCGTTTAATCACATTAAAAATCATCTGATTGGTTAGAATTTGAAACAATCACCAAGCTGATTGGTCGTATATTAATGGAGTGTATTAATCATATAAAATACATATGCCTTATGGTTATTATTTGCACATTACACATAAGTATATAAGAATCTGCTTCTTTGTTTTTTAGCAGAATTAACAAATAAATATGCTGATTGATGCGAATACTTTCAAAGGTATTCAAATACTTTCAAACATATTCTAATACTACCAAAGATATTCGAATACTATAAAAAGTATTCGAATACTTGTCACTCAAATACATTAAAAATTTAAAATAGTACTAGATAAAAGTCTTAATAATACTTAAAAAATGTCAAGTTATACTTTGTATAGAGGCAACATGGAAGAACAGCGTTTTATGCACTGAAAGTAGTCCCTTTCCCTGAGCTGAGGTTAGCTTTTTTTATATTTCTATTGTTATATACAAATTTAAGGGGAGTAAAAGCGTATTATTGTTATTATATTATTATATAGGAGGTACCAGAACCTGTCTTATATCAGTTATATCCTTAAGAATACGTGTACCAGTTTTCAAAGCGATCGTACGTGGTGCACATGACACGTACACCTTTCTGAAATTAATTCTAGCGATTTTGAAACAGATCCTTTTTTGTCCGTCCGTCTGTCCGTGTGTATCGGGTCAAAAAGTTTCACTCCAGGCTCGTTCGGTATTCATGTTGTATCGGATTTTTATATTTAATTTTGTGATAACGGAAACTTCCTCTAAAAATTTCTAAATAGTTGTCAAATATTTGAATTACTTAAAAGTATTCAAATACTATACGAAGTATTCGAATACTTCTCAAAGTATTCAAATACCTTGCGAAGTATTCGAATACTTTACGGAGTATACAAATACTTTGCTAAGCATTCGAATACTAAAAATTTGCAAAAGTATTTGAGTTACAAATACAAATACTGCTTCCATAAAAGTATTTAATTACAAAGTATTTGAATACTAAAAAGTATTTACAAAATCGAATACTGCCCAGCTCTGGTTATGGTTATTTTGCACTGCGCTGTGTTCTAAACGATTTAGCTCGCAATATTGTGGTAGTGAAATTAATACTGTGATTTACAAAAAGAATTGTGTAGTGAGTAGAGCACAAAACGGAAAAATTTCACAAGAAACCGTAATACCTATGGAAATTTTAAAATTAAAAATTCATAATAAATGATAATTTTCTTCCACGGGGATCGTAGTCCCCATTACACTGACTGGTCGCGTTATCTGCACGTTGTATAGCAATACTTAAATTTGTCGTAAGTAAGTGGTAGCTCGGGGTTCCCCAGTAATATTGGTAATAGGCGTTTTCCCAGGTTCCATTGTCTCTACTGCGAAAGGTATAAAAATGTGGTTCTGTTCTATAATTGAACTGTATTTCCTTATTTTTATACTTGCCGCAGATTCAGCTACTGCACCACTCGTTTTACTCGAAAATTAATCCAAAATATTTCAGTGGCGCCAAGTCATAAAGCTAGGAAAAACTGTCCCAGACTACTTGGGTGTGGCGCCAACTCCTAAGATTTTGACTCTATCTGGGAGATATGTCAGCAAAACACAAAATAGCAAAAATGTTGGGGATTGGGCGCCAGCTCTGCAATTTGTGGCGCTAGCTGGCGCTACGTTTAAAGAACACAGCGCAGCGCTTGCTGTTGGTAGTCATCGAACACAATGGTGGTGTTAGCGTTAATATAGCACCCCCAAAAGTTAAAGGCTCTTTGCAAAATCTATAATTGCACTAGGTTATCTTGAGCGCTAGGTCTACAAAACAGAATACATAAAATTTTTACCCGAAAAGACAAAATGGTGGTGCCCCCTCCCCCACACACTATTGGAGGGTGATGGAAGCTCTAAAATTGTGGCGCCAGCTGGCGCTAGGTCAGCAGAACACAAAACGTCACAATTTTACCCGAAAAAACAAAATGGTGGTGCTAGGAAAAAGTCTCCCCCGCACTATTGGGGGGTGGCGCTAGCTATAAAATTTGTGGCGCTAGCTGGCGCTAGGTTCGATGAACACAGCGCTTGCTTTTGGAAATGATCGGACGCAATGGTGGTGCTAGCGTTAACATAGCACCCCCCGAAAGTCAAGGACTTTTTTGCAAAGTCTATAATGGCACGAGCTGAATTCAAAGTGGCGCTAGCTGGCGCTAGGTCAGCAGAACACAAAACGTCAAAATTTTACATGAAAAGACAAAATGGTGGTGCTAGGAAAAATTGCTCCCCTCACTATTGGGGGGTGGCGCTAGCTCTAAAATTTGTGGCGCTAGCTGGCGCTAGGTCTGACGAACACAGCGCTTGCTTTTGGAAGTGATCGGACGCAATGGTGGTGCTAGCGTTAACAAAAGTCAAGGGCTTTTCTGCAAAATCTATAATGGCGCTAGCTGAACTCAAAGTGGCGCTAGCCATAGAGATTCTAGCGCAATCTGTCTTTAGTCAGAAATTTGAAA